ATATATATATATATATCTGACCATTACCTGGTGCATCTCGAGGGATTTGTTTCCAAAGGCTCGTCATACCTGCGGGAGAGCATTGTAAAGTCCCGATGAGCCGCGACCATTTTCTGCAGCCGCGAAATAATCTCATAATCGGGCGTGCAGATTGGCTCCGACAATAACTTCGCTACAGAGACGCGGAAGCTCTGGAGCTGAGACAGGAAATGAACGATTTGCGAATTGAATCATACTCGTAACTTATATTCAAACAATAGCATGACTCGCTCGAGTATTAAATTTTTTATCGCGCATTTTACAAATTTGAACTGGAATAAGCGTTTTAATATTTATAGAATATCAGTTTTTTTCGCTCTATATGAAACTATTTAGCATTTTATATTGCGCCAGAATTTAATTATTTTTACAAATTTAATAACATTAAGTCGTATTAAAGTTAAAGCGATTTTGTATTAAAAAATTTTTTTGTTTGAATAACACAGTATTACTTCTTTACTCCTTTCCGGTTTTCTTTTCCTATTTATATTTGCCTGAAACTTAAATGCTGTTTTATAGTGGAAGTGATAAATGCAGCAAGGGTATTAAGACTCGAGTACTTCATGTATAATTTATTATAATTAATGTTTGCTTGTTCGAACTAAATCAAAGTTTCGCGACGCTTCAGAAAGCGAAGTTACGGACGTCGAGATGAAGCCTCGCAAAATCGCATGTAAGATTTACAATCCTTTCACGGAGTATGGCAGCGCGGGGTTTAAGTCGAAGAAGCTATCTGCTTTACAGCCCGGCGACGCGCGCGAACGTGTCTCGAATCACTATGATGCAACTCCAAATCATGTTCTGAACGAGCGTTACGCGCCCGACGAGAGAGAGCTCGCAATTACGCGAATGATCGTCGTCGCGAATCATTGCGATTGCCACAATGAATTAACGAGCCTCCTTTTCGGCCTCCACCTCCGAAGGCGAAATATTGGAGGCGAACTCTGCTGCAAATACGCTTTTAATTTTATTTCTAATTGTATTTCTTTAATTTCTAATTTTATTTCTCTAATTTTATTCCTCTAATCTCTCTCTAATTTTATTTCTTTATTTTATTTCTTTATTTAATAAAAGGTGCAGTTTGCAATATTAGCGATATTAGAATCTGTGAATTGTTGCGGAACGGCAAGATCACTTCCGAGGAATTGAAATCGTTATTAATTCTTTGCGAAAAATCAAATCAACAACTCTACATTTTCCTTTCTCAGGAGAAACTAAATGTCCCTTGGAGAAGACTTACGTAGACTTACGTAGACTGTGAGGAATATTGCAATTCGAGATAATACATATGTAATGCACGGAGGAACAGCCTGTCCGCGACGCAACGGAGCTCCGTTTCCACAGCGACTTCTTTTGCGTAATTTAATCGCTCGTAAATCCGCGTTCGTGCACGCGAACGATCATAAATCAGAATTACGTGAATACCAAATACGCGTGCCGAATACACAATCCGGCATTGAGACATTGGATTTTGCCGTTTACGATGGATTCGAAAAATCAGCGACGTGATTCTTTCGATTTGTTTATCCAGCATTCGTTTCAGCTAACGAAACTTGTTTAAATATTATTTAACGTTCCCGTTTAACGGAACGTCAAAACGCAGATTTATTCGCAGTCGTAAACTCGAGATTGAACGTATCGCGACAACTGACGCGTATGAATTAAGTAATAATAATCGCGGTTTACCTGGGATTCTCTTCTCGTGACGTCGGAAAGATTTTGTTTGACCTGAGCCAGCTCGTCGCGGAGAAGCTGCAAGGAATGGTCGTTTATCGATCTCTCCTGATCGGCCGTCTCCGCGACCGTCCTCATCTGCTCCTTCGCCATCGTCAATTTTCTGTTGTAACGCGTCCTCAACATCTCGCTCTCAACAAGACGCTTCTGGAGCTCCTCGATTTTCCGACTACGTTCCAGGGCGGCTATCTGCTCGCGGGAAATGTCGTAAAGTGGGTTAAAATCATCTGATCGATAGTCGCAAATTACATGAGGGTTTTCTCCCATGGTTTTACGAACGGAATTTTGTTTTCCCGGCGCTTCGTGAAATTCATGAGCGGAAAATCGATTTAACGAAGCTTTCTACAGAAGCGCGGAATAAATTGAATTATTAAAAAGAAATTAGATTAGAAGTAAACATTCGTTTGTTTACTCGAGATAAAATCGCACGGTGTAACAAGGTTTACAAGCATGCATTGAGATTTAACGAGGGGCAACGATAATGCGCGCAATATATTATCGTTAAACTGTTAATTGTTATTATCGTTAAACAGCTGCGGCGAAATTGTTCCGCGCGTGCGTTCCGTGCGTATTCCATGCGAAGCATTCGGATTTATCTGACTGTGAGAGAGTACGGAAAGTCTCTCGAAAATTACGTGCCTTGTAATCTGCGGCTTCCGTCAATTGTGCGCTCAACTCCCGATTCCGCGACTTTTCCTCCGACAATTGGACCTGAAGTCGCTCGACCTGCTTCGCCAGTTTCTTCGCGCTGAAAGAAAGGAAGGAAATCCTCACTCGCACCTTTTCCCGCTTTTTTTTCCCCAAATTTCGCCGAGCGTCGAGGTAGGAAAGACTACGGCTAATAGCAGCCCGGCATGCAACAACGGACATTATAGAAATGCGTTCGGCGCATTTGAAATAAACCGCGAACCACTGTCGGAAATTGCAGTGTGACCGCCGGCGATCAGCCGCGTAAAAAAATCACGCCGCATCTGGGATGCGCGAAGCCGCGCTGTCGATTAAATTTCCCGATAGCCCGCAGCTCTATACGTCCCTTATCGAAAGACCTCGATAGACATCGATAGGCATCGTTTTCCTCGCTAATGTTACATTAGTCGGCAAAGAGTAAAAAACATCGAATCGATTATAACACAAATTAATTAATACAACACGATAGCTTCTAATTATCAGAATATTACATCAATCTTCATCAATTTCAAATGCTCTTTGCGAAAATTATCCACCTCAACGCGAGAGAGATACGAGGGAGATAGAGAAAGACAGATTGAGACAGATTGAGAGAGAGAGAGAGAGAGAGAGAGAGAGAGAGAGAGAGAGAGAGACAGAGAAATTCAAAATTTTAACGCGTGTTTAAAATTTCGTTGTAATCGGCCCCAGGTTACGGTGAAACAAACCGTATGTTCGCCTCGTCGCGCTCGGTCTGCAACAATGACTTCATCCTCACGCTGTCCTCCTGCAGAGATAACTTCCGACGTAGAAGGTCCAGGTGCAGGTCCCTGCGCTGCAATTGCTCCCGCAGGGTTCGAACACGACGTTGCAACTGATAAACCACGGAAGTCTGCGCGAAAAAGAGAAAGAAAACCACATTTGTCGAGTCCTCCTCAACGGCAACGACATTTATCAGACACCACGCTCGACACCACGTGCAAATACCTGCTTTACCGCAGAACAAAAAAGTACCGAATTCAAGATACATCGTGCAATCGTCGATCTAAATAATGATAACGATAAGACTTGATGAGAAATGGAGATGATGATGATGATTTCATCGTGCGTATCTGCGATAATTCTTCTGTCGTACGTGTAATTAAATTATACAGACCAAAAAAGCAGATCTTATTTTTTTTTTTTTTTTTTTTTTATAAATAAAGAAAAAGTTCTGTCGGAGGAAAAACCTGTTTCTGCTGACATGTTATCGGAGATTATTTAATTAAAAGTTAGCGCATCGCGGATCAGTTTTATGTTGAAAAGAGCGGCCGCAATATGTCGATGCGCCAGCGCGGACAGCGCCGTAGATGTTATAGCGTTAAATGGAACTTCATTACGCGATATTTCCGATAAACTGTCAATTTATTGAAGCAACAATTACGTCGCAAGCAAAACTCGACCAGCCGCATCCGACTCAGCCGCAAAGTGTATCGGAAAACCTATTGGGGAATGGGGCGGAGGGAGGGGGGGGGGGAGGGGGAAAGGAACAAAAAGCGCTTTTCTCTATTAAAGATATTTCCACGATGGAACGAAATAAAATGTTCTACGAAGGGAATGCCTGAGGATTCTGTAAAGTTTCTCTCTAAGGCGCTTTGCTCGCGCCGGGGGCTTACTTCTTTGAGACAAGGAAGCTCGTGGAACGTTCGCTCGCGCCGAATCCTCGGTAGAGTCGTGTAGCTGGAGTACAAATACTGCGACGTGCGGTAAGCACACGATTTGCACGACAAAGAAACACAGAACAAAGGAGAAGACGTTAGCAACGTGACGGCGGCATCGAAAAGACGTAATATCGATCGTGCCCTTCACCTTGTCGACCAGCTTGTCGGTCTCCAATCTGGCTAGCTGCTCGGCCCGCACCAATAGCGACTCGGTTTGAAGATCGAGTCCGATCTCCTGAGAGATCTCGTCCATTTGCATCGCCTTACCCAGTCGATCCAAGAAGGTCATAAACTGGAAAAGGCGCGATAAGATTGACTTTGAAATCGGAAATAAGTAAAAATAAATATTTTTGAAATTATAATCTGATTTTTCAAATTATAATCTGTAACATTGTATTAGGAACAAAAAAATTTCTAAAACGTTCCTTTAATTTTCTTTCGCTTCTTTAAAGATTTAACATTTTATTTAATTCAAAGAGATTTAAAATAGTTAATTGTATGATGTCTTTATCTCCTCGTTTCGCTATCGTCATCAAAATTATTACGTGTCAAGATTGTTTTAACATTTCCAAGAGGTAGAACGTCTGAAATTACCGTCTGCTTGTCTCTGCGTAAAGACTCTCTGGAGAGATCGCTGCTCGTAAGTTCGGATTCTAGTTTATGTATCTTAGCTTCCAGAGCGGCACGTTCGTCTTCCAAACTGCGTACCTTCATCATCGTGGATTCGACCAATTCGCTCTGCCGATTTGTGGATTCCGTCGCCATGCTCACTTTTTCCCGAAGACTTTGTATTTTCTACAAAATAAAAAGACGTCCGAGATATTATTAATTTCGCGTGCCAAAATTTTTCAGAATTTTAATGTATGAAATTTTGATGTATGAATAAAAACAATGTACGGCATCCATAAGTTTCAAAGAAGAAAAAGATATTTATATTTAAAACAATTGAATTTTTCACAAAAAAGTGCAAAATTATGGTTCCCATTAGCTACCAGCGACTGATCTTTGTTGTCTGCCAAGATCTCTCGGATGCGATCTTTGATCGCATTCTCATGAGACTCGACAAATCGATTTGGCGTACTGATGAGGATGGCGATCGATTCTAGAAGGTGACGTAATTCATTTTGTACGCGTTGCGTCTTCTCCTCGCGGACTTTCAGATCCTCTGCAAAGGAAGCATAGGTCATCAAAAGGCTTAAGCGAAATTGAATCGATCCAGTCGCGATAGTTTACCTCGTAACTGACAAATCAGAGCCTCCTGATTGGATATGTTCCCCGTCGCGCTAGTTAAGCTTCTATTCGCGTTGACAAGCTTGTCTCTCAAGTCGTTCATGTCCTTCTCAGCGACCCTATATTGCATCTCCAGGCACTCCTTCTCCTAAGACAATGATAAACAATTAATAGCACGATATTTCATAAATTTCGACTGCTATTAAGTAAATTCGAATAATACAAGAGAAGCCAGAGATTTATACATGTATATGAACGGAGAAGAACAAGAAAACGAGTGGTATCCAAATGTTCGATGAGAAAGAGAATATTAAATAAAAAAAAAAATATGTCCCGCGGACGTAGTATTTCTTCATTGTTCTTTTTCAATTTTCTCTTGCCAAATGTTTGGATCTCACTTTTCGTCTCAAGCTAAGATGACAATTATGTCTAAATTTCCAATTTTCCGATAATAATTTACATAGTTAAATTTACAATAAGTCATTTCTTTCAAATTTAATAATAAAGAAAAATCTCACCTGACGCAAACGATCTATGTCGACCAGATGAACGGACACTTGCCTCTGTAACTGCTCTTTTTCCGTGGTAACGCGGTCGAGAGCGTCCCTGCAGGTTCTGAAATCCATCTCGACGCTCGTCAGCTGCGTTTCCACGTTTGTGCTCTTCGTCCGCAGGCGGTTCACCTCCTGCACGAGTTCCTCCGCTTTATGAATCACCATCTCGGGGCTGTGATGCGCCGTCTCGCAGTATTCGACGTTCAATGCGTGTGCCAGTCTTCGCACGAAATCCTATCGATGACGGGCATTGAAAAAGCGGGGCATTGAAATGTGAAGGTGAGGGTGAGAAAAAGTGAGTACGATTTTTCCGCGGGGAATAAACGGGTGTGTCGATAGCACAAGGCGAAAAGCGCGATTGAGCGCACGTTGAAACATACAGCACCTGCAGATTCAGCCGCGCCCGTTCCTTCAATTGAATCTCCTCGGATATAGCGTGCTCCAATTGGCGAATTTTCTTATCGTACTCCCTGACCTTTTCCTCGTGGTACTTTACGTCACGCTGCAAGCCCTGTATCATGATCTCGTTCCTGCCCTGGGACGCATAGAGATTTCTCTCCCTCTCTTCCAACTCCTGAAATCGTTATTGAATTTTACAGAAGCGCGTACGTGAATTTTGCAGAATCGTCGATATATCGTCCGCTATCCGATTGCGGAATCCCGTGAGATTCTCTCGTTTTCTTTTTCAACGACGAACGTCGACGAACGATCGGAAGCGAATTATCTCGATGCGATGCATTAACTCGCGAGGTATCCTTTAATCGTCCGCTTGTTAGGGAAACAAATTAACCTGAATGCGCTTCTTGAGACTGGAGACGACGGCATTTTGCCTGGCCGCTTGCTCACGGAGCTGATCCGCCTCTACCTGAAGCTCCACGACCCTCTGATCCCGCGATCTCACAACGCTTTTCATTTCCTGCAACTAAACGGGGAAGCGAATTGATTAATAACGCGACCGATTATGAAAGCGGAAAAGCGATAATCGGCTTACCTCAGACATAAGCCTGTCTCGTTTATACTCGAGAGCCGCCAGCTCGCTTCTTAAAGTGGTCGTTAGATCGTGAGTCATGGCGTCGTCTGGGTCCACCTGAAACCAGACGTTTAATCGTCCAGTCTAAAAAAAAATAACGATAAAATAAATATAAATAAATAAAATAAATATAACAAATAAATATTTTACATTGCCGTGCTTTTCAATGTAACGCCATGGATAATTTTCAAAAAGAAAAATAAAATGATGAAACAATTGTAAAAATATGCATATGCGTGCTCATTTATCGCATCCATTGCCATTTTATTGTTCCCAATAATTCCTCAATGTACAGCTCAATGTAGCTACTTTGTAGAGAGCGGAGTCAACAATCGTTATAAATTATTAATTTCATTATGCGGGACTCCCGGTCGTGTGTACCGGTATTCCCGTTGAGTTTCGCCACGGGCGAGGCGATCCCGTCGTAAAGAAAGCCATTTTATTTCCCATAGCTTCCTACGCGAGGCAGAGGGCTTTAATGCCGAGGCGCTCGTTTAAGCTGGGAATAGATTAGCGGCAGCCTCCGAAGCGCGTTGCGGCTTCTGAAGTTCTGACCTTTCTCCCGCTCGGAGAACTCGCGCTGGATTCGCGAGTACCGCAGGTACCGACGTACTCTTCACGACTCGTAATGGCACTCATTTCAGCGTTCACGCGTGTACGACGGAAACTTTATAAAACGGCACGACTTGCCCCTCGCCCATTACGCGCGTCTGCCTGCCTGGAGAATCCTCCTCCTCTCCCCCTCCCCTCACCCATATCGTTGAACGTCAGCCGCAAAATGAGGATAAGTTAGCTTGTTAGAGGCTACTTTTAGAAACGGCATTTCGAATCGTCTATTTAAAGAAGCTTATGATCGAATGTATTCCAGGGTAATGATTTTAAAAATAAATTCCTTGATATGAAGACCGATTATTTCCCGATAGAGATATATCTTTGATTGAAAGTAGCTTCGATCTGATTTCTATTTGATTTTCTACGACATAAAAATCACTATCGTGTTTTGTCTTGAAAAATGGGGCTCTAATCTTACAGCAATCTTCTGGCAAATACAGATAAGAATTAATAATACTTATTTGTTTATTCTTTTTCAAGAGCTGTTAAAATGAGTAGATACAATTGAAGATTCTAAAATTGTTAGATTGCTCTCTGCGACATTTCTCCGATCTCCATCGATAATCGAAATTAATTGCGTTACGTGCAGTCAAGTGCCGCAATGACGTAAACAGTTTATGACGCAATTCAAAGAGAATAACATTTTTAAGCACTTTTGCATTGATTAATCAATGCGAATCACCAGCTATTGCAATAAAATTCGATTCGGTATATGATGATTAAATCGTCATTAAGCCAAATTAGAAGAATGCGCATGGCAGAAACGAGACGAGACGAAAGAACCAGATTATTGTCATTATGAGCGCAACGGCGCAGTCAAATATTTATGTCGGTAATTTCGGCGCCAATTATCGGTGCTCTAATTAAATATTTCGCGGCGGTAACTGATTACGCGAAGTCATTCGCTTTTATTTCGTTTTGATGCTGATTTACGTTCGACACGTTTAATTACTTTTTAATAAATCCAACTCGTTGCGGGATTCGCGCGGAATTAAATGTATTCCCGTTCGAATGATTCTCTCGCAATGTGAAATTAAATCCAAGTATTCGTCCAAATGAGAATTCGTTTCGTTGTTAATTACAATCATAAGCGGGTTTAGGATTTAACGTGTAAAAAAAAAAACAGATCCTCTGATGTTCACTCTTTTTTCATCCGTGTCTCTCGATCTTGTCCAGTGAGTTTGCAAACGGGAGCGCACTGTAATATAACTTCGTGATAACTATCTTATCCTGCCCGTGAAACGAAAATCAGAAATAGGATCATCATGGAATAAACACGAAGTTTTGTAAATGGAAGTATCTTCTATGCATAGGAAATTTACTAATTACGTATTCATTCTACTACCCCGATACATCTAATACTCGGTTGACGAAGAAGCTCGCATAACAATTCAAGTGTCTCTTAAATGAATTAAATAAAAAAAAAAATAAAAATGAATCGGAGAATTAAAAATATCATTATTGTGAACACAATTTATCGAGCAACTCTGATATTTGGCGGAAAGTTCGCCAAATAAAAATATAAGGTTTCCAATATGAAGCCTCGATTTTTCTCGCCGAGAACGCGACTCGAGCGTAACAAGACTCGCCTCGAAAACGATCAACACGATCAACTCTACCTCGTCTTGCCCGCCGGATCTATATCGCAGCCTCCCGTAGGAATTTCCGCTACACACAATCGTGTGCGAGTGCGCTTCGTATTCTCTGAAGCGTCCCGCGCGTTCTCGGTCCACGTAGTACTCAACGGAGTTTCGCACTCGAAGTCTGGTACAGCCGATTGCGAGCGTTTCCGGCCAGGCAAGAAGAGGAGAGAGGAATGCGCATCGAAGACTGGGATTGTGCTACCCGGTCGCCAATTTCCAGGGCAATCGGATGCGCGCGGCACAGACAGTTACGATGGCGAGGTTTCGTCTGTCTACGATGGCGGATTACGTGACCCGAATCTATGCCGCGGCCGCCGTTGCCGCCCCCTCCGCCTTCACCGTCGCCGCCGCCGCCGCCGCCGCCGTCTCGGGGACGACCTCACGACCTCGTCCAGGTATCTGTATCTGCATGCGAAAATCTATGCTCGTAAAATCTACGTCAGATACTAGGGCGAGAATGTTACCGTGAAACCACGCCGAGCGCGGCACAATGGAGTACACTCCCCGAATTTGCGGGTCAGCGTATCCACAATGATATTTCTCTCGATGGTAACCACATCGGAGAGACCTTGAGAGTGGTACAACGAGGTCTCCTTACTTGAACTAATACGGGAATGCGAACGTGAAGATACGAGGAGGCACGGATGCACAACGCGAGTAAGTGGAACGAGCGGGGTATTCCTATTTTATTTTTGACGAGTCCGCTATTCCCCGCTGATTAAAAAGAGCTTTCACCTGATATTTCTCGCGGTTGCATATCAGCATGCGATGCGCTGAAAAAGAGAATCTCTCTCTCTCTCGCGTAAACGCGCGATGCCGGGACGTCCGTTCGGGGAATTAATGTCTATCGCACGTTCGGATGTGCGAGAGAGAGAGAGAGAGAAAGATACAGAGAGAGAAACAGGGAGGGATATTTAATTCAACGCGCGCTATACCTTCCTGGGAATCAGATTAAAATCGGGATACGCGATCCTACACGCGCCGCATCAATTATCTCGCCATTCAATTATACGACAGGCCGCGAATCGGGATCGTTATCGTCTCTCGGCGACCCCGAAAATAGTTTCGACGCGTCCGGGACGCGGACGAGAGGCGGCATGGTTTTGGGCATGGAGTTGCGTATTCTCCCGTTTCCGCGGAATACCGTAGAGTTTCCACTGGTGGTGGTTAAGTCCGACGTTATTGAATACCCATTATTCCGCCGCCCGTATAAATATCCCCCCGTCGATCTCGGGGATACGATCGCGCGAGCACCGCGACCTATTTACCGTCGGTATTTACCTCGGTGAGAGAGAGCGGCCGTGCGCGGGATTACAGCGAAATCCGCGCGCGCGGCACACCGTCCACGTACTCGTGTAAAAAAAATTTGTAAATTCGCCACCGGGGAGACCGTTTTTCCGCAGTGTCGTGTTCCCGGGCCGCGCTAACGCGCGAACCCGTGATTTCGCGACCGTAATAATAACGCCGCAATAAAATCGCGATGAGCGATTACGTGAGCGCTTTGCGAAATACAATACCGTTAAAATAATTTAGATCCACCCCGCTGAAAGTTGACGTCCCGCGTGTCGTTCCGTGCCGCGGCTTTGCCACAGTCCATTAGAAGCGAGAGGTTTCGTAATTCGAAAATAAAAACTGCACGTACTTGCTCGTCATGCCGGCGATATTATTTTCACGTTTAATTAATTTCGCGTAAGATCTCTCGTATATTTAAGTTGGTCCCATCGTTAAATCCAACGGATGCGCGCACAGTCGGAAAATGATATTACGGTGACGTTCGAGGGGGGGGGGAAGGGGGGAGGGGGCTTTAGTCAAACGAATGCGAATGTTAAAAAAAAAAATGATCTTTGCGAATTTATATGAGAGAATTTTTTAAGGCTCTCGAAATACGATATCCTATTTTTAAAAAATTGCGGTTGGATCGTATCTATTTTTGACGCAGTACATCAATGCGTTCGATCACCACGTTATTGCAACAGTGACGATAGATTAACATATATATAGAACGCGGTATCGAATTTTATTGTACGCTGTGAACACGCAGGCAGAATTTGCACCGTAAATGGAACGCGTGATTAACGCTCGCCCGTTTTTTGCGTGATGAACGCCGATGAACATTCATCTGCATCAAGTTTTTTTTTATAAGAATAAGTGAGCTTTCATGTTGAGGTTTCATATGGAAGTATTCTACGTTGTACGTATTACATAAGCAAAAGTAAAATCTCACGAATAGTAATAATATTACAGCGAAATGTGGAAATGTGGGACCCTGGATTTTAAAATTATATCATGCAAAAATTGAATTATATATTTAATTA